GTTTGTGAGATAGAAGAGCTAAGTCATGCACGAATTCGAAATTTTTCAGCCGTTTCCAAGCTGTTCATTGTATTTGGTGGTTCTTCTGACCATTCTCACCATTTTCGTTCGTTTCTCCCAATTAGTCCATTTCGTCTCATTTTATTTCCATACCAAATGTTGTCCCATTCCAACCTTGGTGTTTAGTTTTCCCATCATGATTATTAGGTTGTTTCCTGACCACATCTGTGCGATTGACTGCAGCTTCTCATGAAACTCATGTTTGTTGTGTTCGTTGAAATCGCTGGCGAGTGCATTTCACTGGACAAAATTCATTGTGATTCTCTCCTTCTTTGTTGTATTGAAGGATGCTTTGATGATCCTGGATTCATGAGATTCCCATTCCATATGATTTTTGGTACTTCTTTGAACAGCATGACCACAACTCCTTGTGTATCGGAAGGTTTGTCTTCTTCATGACTAGAGTGCAACAGATTCTCTCTCGAATCCTATCCTTTCTATTCAGCTTGCGTCCAATGAGTTTCACTTATTCTGAACATCATCAGGTTATATATCCTCATTTTCGTAGATATTTAATTAGTCCTCTCAGTCTCCCACATTGTGTGAACATCCCATGTATCCATATTTATCGTTGCTCTGTTTGTTAGAAGTGACATCGACCTCGTGACTTCCAAAGAATGTTGGTTTTCACCTTCAACTACTAATGCAGCGTTTAAATGAGTTTCCATAGTTTGCATTTTCCTTAGCATGGTTCTCTACTGCGAGATGGTATTGTTAACCTTTTGTCCGACCCTCCTGTTTTATCCGGATTCGAGACTGGCGGTGACCTCGAAAATCTTCAGGTTAAATAATAACAATATAGAATTGTTATGATTAGTTTCGTAGGATTTCGTTCTTCATTTTTATTACAATTTGATATGTAATCACTACTATGTTATAATGATAAAGACAATAATGATGTACAACGAATACTGCAACCGGATAGTTTAGTTTTGGTTATTTTATATAAAATTACATTTTGCATGCAAAACACAGTAACTTTTATTGTCTTCTAGCATGACTTCTCTTCCGTCGTTTAAAAAAATTTTTTTTTACTCTCGTTAGTTACATTTCAATGTTTGTAAACAAGGAATTGTTTGGTAGACAAGAAAGAGAACTGATTTATTTTTCGCCTTATCATTGACACATTGAATTATTCATGCTTTGTTTTTGTCATTTTGCATTTACTCACTTTTAAGGTGTAACACTGAAGTGAATGAGTAGTAGAACCTGTTCAATAATATAAGTATATATGAGATGTGACAACGATTAGTTTTTTTTTTCTTTTCAACAAAATCGATAATAGTAGTCACAATTGATTGATCACTGGGTGTCGAGTCACCTAGACTGGTGGCCACATTGCAACATGATCGATAGCATTCGATCTGCACTAATAAGGACTAGACACGCATGACATTGATCGTCACCCAGTGATCAATCAATTATGATTACATCTCAGTCCTACAGGAGGTTGGTCGCGGCCTAGATAGCCCAGTGGTAACGTCTCCGACTGTGAAGCTGGGTGACATGAGATCGAATCGGCCAGGGAGCACCAGTTCCCTCAAGATTACAGGTACATTTTGCTGACGAGTGCCAAATAGCACGAAACCCGGATCCAAGGTTTCTTGTCGACTATCTCCAACCACCGTCTTATCTCAATAGTAGTAGTGTTTACCAATTTATGCCACAAGATTTTTCTATTTATCATACTTCTATCTTATTAAATCTGAATGAGTTCTGTTGTGTTCTATTTTTTTCCAGAGATTATTCCTGTATAAGTTGAGGATAATCGACTATTTCTTGTTTAAGTTTATAGATGCACTCACTTAACAGTATTATTATCCAAATAATGTACATGGTCAACTCATTTGTATTAAGGTGTAGTCGAGATCACGGTGGTTTAGTGGTGAAACAACTCGACTTTCAATCAATAATTTACAGGTTTGAACACACCTTCACTTATTATGGTTTATTATCAGAATGGGTTTTGTGGAGATTTTTAGAAATTTCACAAGTTGAAATCATGAGCCAATTGAAGCTAGACCACCATGGAAAACCTGGAAGCACTGAACGGCCTTTTCGTCCTAGTATGGGACTCCTCAGCAGTGCGCATCCACGAACCCACCCCCCACGGGATTCAAACCCAGGACCTACTGGCTTCGCGCGCGAGCACTTAACCATTAGACCACTGAGCCGGCATCCAACGGTGTTAATGTCTAACTTCAACCAATCCACGAAGTTGCGCCACCGTACACCATTGTCTCCAGTGATCTCATATCTCACAACAGACCTGGTTGAACTCCACTGGTAACGACTTCACACTAGAACTCCAGGAGTGTTTCCTGAAGTCAGTCACTAGTGAGCAGGTGATTATTATTATCAGAATGGGTTTTGTGGAGATTTTTAGAAATTTCACAAGTTGAAATCATGAGCCAATTGAAGCTAGACCACCATGGAAAACCTGGAAGCACTGAACGGCCGTTTCGTCCTAGTATGGGACTCCTCAGCAGTGTGCATCCACGAACCCGCCCCCCGCGGGATTCATACATACAGTGTGACTGAAAAGCGAATACACAAATATATATATAAGGAAAATTAATAGCATCTAGAAATCTCTATTTTCTAGATGGATTCTCATTTCATATTTAAATCTATGATTTGGACATGTTTCATGCATGCTTTTCAAATAGCTTCTACGATAATCTTTTTACTGATCCTAGAATCAGTTGAACACAATAGGCGATCATTCATTTTGTGGTATGGTGCTGTAAAGTCAATAAATAGTAAAGATTTGTTGATATGAAAAGAGAGATCCCATGATTCACTGGCTTGGAATCTTATTTAACTCAACTAGTAGTAATGTAAAACACGACAATAGGCAGGTGGTACGTTTATTTATTGCGAGAAGTTACAAAGTATTTTCATAATACATATACATAGCCTTCAATTGTCCATTTACATCTTCCGGTGTGTTCTGCAATCTGAACTGGCTTCCAAGTGATCTGCCAATGCTGTGCTTTCGACGCACTGAAACTTTCCACTCTGTCCGACAATTGTTACAACCTCGACACCACGTTCCACTAAACACTACTTGCAAACAATCTTGTGAGTAGCAGCCATTATAGTAGTTATTTTGGAGTCTCTTGTCTTCCAAGAAATCGGAGAGATTGTATTAAGCGGTTATGATAAATGTTTCTTTGATTACTTCCTTTGTATCTTCTTGATGGTATCATTTATTGAAACCGTATAGTCGTATTTGTAGTGACTTTGAAATTGTATTAACTTGTTCAAAAGGAGACAGATCTTCATCCATAAGTTTACATAATGTTGTGTGGAATGTTACATTGACTACATAAAACAAATCCTTTGTAAATGTATCTCGGAATAGCATCTATCTTTTGAAAGGAGAGTAAGAAATAGTTCATAACTCAGTACAAGAACATCTTATCAATTCTGGTCACATTTGCTTTATCAAACATGAATCAAAAACATGTGTATTGTAGAGGCTTTAACAATTTAACAGTTCAAGCCTAAACTCTTTGTACAAAATTAGCAGCTAGTCTCTTATTTTACTATAACTCTAACATCTCTTCTAATCTGTCATCGGTTGTTGATAATCTTGTCCAGTTTTTCAGAGTTATTGTTTAGTTGTTGTTACCATCACTTATTTCGTCTTGTCTACTGAGTGGATGATTAATGATAATGATGAAGTAATCGAACGCTGTCGACAACCTCACTTATCTTGGAAGTCTGATCAGCCCTAATGGGTTGGTGTCTGACTAAATCTCAGCACCGATTCAGAAAGCGCGTTTGGCTTTTGCCAACTTAAATCACCTATGGCGAAGGCGAGATATCCATCTATCAATTAAAGGACGAGTATACTGAGCAGCAGTTCGTTCTGTTCTAACTGCGAAACGTGGTCATGAAGAGTAGAAGATACTCGTAAACTACTGATATTTGACCACAGATACCTTAGAATTATTGCTTGTATTTGCTGAGATCACCGGGTAAGTAGTAGTGAGGTTAGACACAGGGTATTACGAAATGATAGTAAATCAGTCGATGAGGTTGTGAATATTCATAGACTGAGATGGTTGGGCCACGTGTTCTTACGTATACCTGGACACCGATTACCATGACGCGCAGTGCTGACTAGTGTTGGAGACGGTTGGAAGAAATTTAGGAGCGGCCAAACTAAAACGTGGCAACAATACTTGAAGTCACTAACTTCTAGTCTCAGTTATGTTGATAGATGCAGACCACTTGGTTGTGGTCCACGTGACTATCGTAACCAATGGTTGGAAATTCTGTGTGACATGACACAGAATCGATCACAGTGGTGTAGGTTTATACGCTCTTTGTTTTCCCTTAAACTGTGAGATTAAAACTGCTTTATATCTTTCTTTCTACGAACTAATCCTTTCTTCCTGTATTATATCCATATACGCAATCCTTCTTTTGTATATTACCACCATTGAATTAACTACTATGAATTTGGTGTCCGTCTTATTGTGTTAATGAGGTATGGCAACTTGAACCGATGCATATATGTGCCTGGTCCTACGTTGTAGCTGACTGACTAATATCAATGAAATGTAAAACTGTAATTATCCATGTGAATTTCCAAACTTTATCACTAGCAAATCACTGAATTGTAACTCATTTACCAAGTATTCGATTCTGCGCTATACTGTTTGTATCCGAGATAATGATATTTCCCGACTACCAAAACTAAATAAGATGAAAAAAGGTTCGAAACTAAAATTATTTGATTAAAAGTTAAATGTATTTTAATCACTAATTCACCGATCTGCAATTGCTAAGATCAGTGGGCTTAACTTCCAGTTGTTAAGTTTAAGGTTTTGTAATATTTACAACATTATTAAGAGTGTTCATACGTATATACTTATATATACTGTACTTTGATATACTGTACCATTTATTTATTTTTATACTTTTAGTTGTAGGCAACCAATACCGTTGGATAAATTGATTCCATTCAAAACAAGTGTTATTATTGTATTCCATAATGAAGCTTGGTCAGCTTTATTGCGTACTGTTCATTCGGTTCTTGATCGTACACCAGTACAATTGCTTCATGAAATTATTCTTGTAGATGATGCTAGTACACAATGTAGGTACTTAATGCTATTTCATTTTTATTTTGATTAAACTTTTAATTTCTTACTAAAATGTTTAGATTGAATGAAATGATTATTATTGAAATCAAATCTTGATGGTATATTCCATTGTTGTATTGTAAACTAGACGAAATGCGAATTTCATAATTCATTCTTACAAGATCTTAAAAATATCCATAACATATTTTGTTATTCCTTAGTTTTTCTTGAGTATATGTTCTTATTTATTTATTTATTTGAATACATAAATACTGGTACAAGGGGGCACCAGTTACATATGTGCCACACAAATCTCATTTGATATATGTGAGGGCTGTGATACTGCCCGGGTGCCCAAACCGAAACAGGTGGTTTCCTTAGGGGGTCATACCCGGAGCCTTCGACCTAAAGGTATAATCCACATAGCAGTGAAGCAATGTCAGAAGATGCAGTCCCATGGTAGCCGGTGACCAACAATTGATTCATACACTGTTTGTTTTCTCAGGGTCCTAGAGTCCATGTACACCGTTGGTTTGGAATCAGGGTTTTCCACCTCCCCTAGGTGGATCCTCCATATCCACCGACCTGGTGAAAGCGCCAGACATTTGTTTTTCGTCCTCTCAATTTCGTAAACAACAGTAGTGCCACGAGAAGGCGATGAGTAGGACTTCCCTGGCAGAGGCTATATACGCGTGGCTGTGTGATAGCATTTCGAGAGGAAGAGTGGACTCTCCTTACTCTCGGCCGTACCAGGGCATTTCGAGGGCAGTATATGTTCTGGTTGTTATCCACTCGATAATAGCAATCACTGATGGATAGAGACGCTAAGTAAGATAGTTCGTGATCAGTCAAGATCGTACAGATTCTCGATGTTTAGTTTGTCCCATTAAAATTACAGCTACCACTGTTTTCACTTCGGTATTTATCTTATTCATCCCATCTCTTTGTGCTAAAATAATAAAGCGATTTGCGATAGTATACATTTATGTTGATTAAGACTGAGGGACTTAATATGAATACATATCTACAAAAAATGAAAGGCATTAAGTGAGTTTTTCACACCATTCTCAATGTACTTGTCTAATCATAATAGAGGACTAAATTTGACATATTTGCCACTAATTTTCAAATTATTATCTTGCTTTATTAATCAACGACCACCTCTCCTTTTCAAAATTGAGCCATATCATATTTGTGGTTTAATCATAATGGTGGTAGTCATATAAGTCATATCTAAAATAAATCATTACAAGATTCTATGTTGTTAATTCAAGTGTGTTTTTGCACATATCCCTTCTTCATTAAATCGATAAACTTAGGAACTTTTTGTGTTTAATTAAGAAGTACACTAATAAGTTTAATATAGACAGTACTTTTAATATGAATTTTAGTGCAAACTTAATAGTCACTGAAGCTCTATATTATTAAACCTTTAAAAATTGATTAGTAATTTCAGTAGTTGAAATCATGAGTCAGTTAAAGCTAGACCACCATGAAAAACTTGGAAGCACTGAACGGCCGTTTCGTCCTAGCATGGGACTCCTCAGCAGTGCGTACTCACGATCCCGCCATTCGCGGGGTTCGAACCCAGGACCTATCAGTCTCACGCGCGAGCGCTCAACCATTAGACCACTGAGCTGGCATCCAACGATGTTAATGTCTAACTTCAATCAATCCAGGAAATTGCGCCACCGTCACCATTGTCTCCAGTGATCTCATATCTCACAACAGACTTGGTTGAACTCTACTGGTCACGGCTTCTCACTAGAACTCCAGGAGTGTCTCTTGAAGTCAGTCACTAGTGAGCAGATGATTATTATCAGAAATGGTGAATATGCATTGCTGAGGAGTCCCATACTAGGAAATTGAGAGCTATCCAATATAAACACAGTTTAGCTTCACAAACAACAGTCAGAATTTCAAAAACAAAAATATGTAACATTATGAATAAGTTTTGGTGGGTAATTTCAGACGTATTCGATTTTGTTCTTCTTCGTCGCATCATTTATAGTATACTTTTGTCCATGAATTAATTCGAGTTTAGAAAAGTTAAACTTTGGATCAAATGAAGTAGTTATGTTTTTGATGTGCAAAATTGCTACCTGCCTCGACTTTTTTCTCATCTTAATATGAAGCTTGTTTAAGTAGATTCATAATAAACAAAACATCTAGTCAATAGTATTAGAACAGTATTGGAAAATTTTGATGGATTTTTCTTCTCTGAGCTGTATGGTTTGGTCGTGGAACTTTCATCGTTCTTCTGAACGACATCATCAGCTCACAGGACAAAACTCCATCAAAATCATACACTTGAGCTACAAACCTTTTCAACCATATCAAGTATTGAAAAATGTTAACAACCTTATGAAATCCAATCGAAGGGAGAGCTTATTATTTAAATGTGCTCTCTCTCTCTGTATATATATATATATATATATATATCGTTTCGTCTTGTGTAGTTCTGCACTATCCCAGTTTGTTCATATGTATCTATGATAATTTTTATTGTATCCAGCCCATTTAGGTGATCAATTGAAAACTTATGTAAATTCACTAAATAAACCTGTACGAATTGAACGAATGTCAAATCGAAGTGGTTTAATACGTGCTCGATTACATGGAGCGAAAATTTCCACTGGTAAAACGCTTACATTCTTAGATGCACATTGTGAAGTGACTATTGGTTGGCTAGAAACTCTACTTAGACATATTTCAGAAAATCAAGAACGTATAGTTTGCCCGATCATTGATGTTATTAGTCATGATACGTTTGAATATCTTCTTGGTAAGTTTTCTTTTTTTTCCGATCTATTTTTCTCTCAATTTACACTTTGTCTTTTACTATTCATAAAATTTTGTATTTTTATCGTTGTTGATATTTAAGGTTGGATTTTATCAATCTCTGCTGGTAAAGGAGCTGGTTAGACGGGTGTTAAGATATTTCCTTTGGTGACAAAGTTTTAGTATATTTTGAATGGTGACTAGCAGTGAAATACGAGGGACGTGTTTCGTAATATTCAGGACTCATCAGTTAGTGAATGTATCTTGATACCAGTGTGTGAACACTAACACTGTTTGGATGTGCATAAATATTTAAATAGATAAAAACTTAAATCTTGGATTTTACTACTAGTGAGTATTGCACTGATGACATTAGAATGAGAATCATTCAATTCTCTAACCAACTGTAGTTGAAAATGTCAACACAACCCGACTTAGTACATTGATGCTTGTAAAGAGACTGTAAGGTCCTAGGTTCGGTCCTTGTATGCCACTGTATAGTCTCATAATCAGATAAAATTACTGTTTACTTTTCAATGAGTTTAGCTGATCCCTTGGTGTTGTTGTGTTCTCTAAACTATAATGTATAATTACGAAACTCTTATTTTCGTTCTGGACATTATCATCAGCCCGTATTTCCTGTAAAATCGAGCTTCCTGGTTATTCCGCAACTGTTAAATCAGTTCATTCTTATGGCATTATTTGTGATTGATTGTCTTTGTATGTTTCGTTGTCTTCGTTTTTACTTTCATTCTTGTTGATTGTCTTTCGCTGTTTACCTTTGATCATATAATTGACTAACGCTTTTCGTACCAATTATTATATTCGACCTGTGTTAATGTTTTTTATTGTTACTAATCGATCTAAACTTCATACTATCAGAAATTTGGTGAAATTCTTAAAATTTTAACACTTACAGTCGTAGTCAGTCAGTCAGTCAGTCAGCTACAACGTAGGACCAGGCACATATGTGCATCGGTCCAGGTTGCCATACCTCATTAGCACAGCAAGACGAACAGCGGATTCATAAGAGTGGTTAGGTCAAAGGTTGCAATAAGGATATAGTATAGGAAGAAAGAATTAGTTCGTAGACAGAAAGAATGAAGTGATTTTAATCTCTTAGTTTAAGGGAAGACAGGGAGTGTATACACCGACGCCATTGTGATCGATTCTGAGCCATGTCACCAAGAGTCTCCAACCATTGGTTACGAAAGTCACGCGGACCCCAACCAAGTAATCTGCATCTATCAACATGGCTCAGGCTAGAAGTTAGTGACTTCAGGCACTGATGCCACGTTTTGGTTTGGCCGCCCCTAACTTTCTTCCAACCATCCCCTACCCCGGTTAGCATTGCACATCGTGGTAATCGGTGTTCAGGCATACGTAATACGTGGCCCAACCATCTCAGTCGATGAAGATTCATAACCTCATCAACTGATTTACCATCATTCCCTAATACCCTGTGTCTAACCTCACTATTACTTACCCGGTGATCTCAGCAAATACAAGCAATAATTCTAAGGTATCTGTGGTCAAATATAAGTAGTTTACGAGTATCTTCTACTCTTTATGACCACGTTTTGCAGCCGTAAGTTAGAACAGAACGAACTGCTGCTCAGTATACTTGTCCTTTAATTGATAGACGGATATCTCGCCTTCGCCATAGGTGATATAAGTTGGCAAAAGCCAAACGCGCTTTCTGAATCGGTGCTGAGATTTCGTCAGACACCAACCCATTAGGGCTGATCACACTTCCAAGATAAGTGAAGTTGCTGTGAGTCTTTCGATTTTTATAAATTAGAATAAAGTTATCGCGTTTGTTTACCAGCAACATCGATTCCAAACGGTTTCAGAATTCTCGATAAGACGCATCTATGATCTGTATGTGTAAAGGTTGTAGATGATTTCAAATAATGTGGTAAAGCTGATCGTGTTTTATGTTCAGCAACTTGATAATTTGTAAGTCATTTGTAAGTTTACTGATTCATTTACTTGACCCTGAGCGAAACATTTTGTGTAAAGCCTATATATGAATATCAATGCAGGTGATGGGGTTTCAAACTGAGACTAAGCGGCCCCCAAATGCCATGGTGTGACCGAGAGTAGGGAAAGCCAGATCTCCCCCCCCAAAAAAATACTCTCACATGGCCACACGTACAGAACCACTGTCAGGGAACTCCTTCTCACTGCTTTATCGCAGCACTACTGTTGTTTACGAAATTGAGAGGAAGAAAAGCAAACGTCCGGCGCTTTCACCAGGTCGGTGGATATGGAGGATCCACCTAGGGGAGGTGGAAAACCCTCATTCCAAACCAACGGTGTACATGGACTCTAGGACCCTGAGGAAACAAATAGCGTATGAACCAGTTGTTGGTCACCGGTCACCATGTGACTGCATCTTCTGACATTGCTTCACTGCCTTGTGAATTAGAACTTTAGGTCGAAGTCTCTGGGAGTGGCCTCCTAAGGAAACCACCTGTTTCGGTTTGGGCACCCGGGGAGTATCACATCCCACATACAAATCGATGATAACTACTGGAAAAAGTAATCATGTTTTGTTTTTCATTCAGACAAACATAAGATAACATTTGGTTTTATTTCTTTTATACCACGTCACTCATATACTTCCCTTTATTCTCTTTTTGCGTATTTTCTTTTTCAACTTATACAGCAGCTCGCCTCTGATGTAAACCCTTTCCTATCTAAACGATCTCAAGTCACTGATTGATCGAAGGTTGAATGCTACCACCGACTACGAGTACTGAACCAGTCTTTCTGAAACCACGTATATCATTCAAACTGGCCTCCTTCAACGTTCACATGCGAATGCAACAACAGACAGGGTTGATTGTCTTTAGAAAGTCTTAATATCAGTGCCTGTTGTCTGTCCGAGACTTACATTCAAGAATCTAGTGAAGTATTTCAAATTCGCTGTCTATCTGTCCCGTCGAGAAGTTTGTTTCACGTGCATTTATCCAGGGACTCTTTGGCATCTTCGTCTGATTTTGCTGGCGTTGGTGTTGAACTAAGCTCTAGAGCTGAGGCAGCACTGATCGATTGGTTCCCCATTAACAGTTGGCTATATGCTTTTAGATTAGAAATTTCCATCAAAGTGCGAAGAAATTGGTGTGAGAAACGATACGTTTTCGTTATCTCCGCCTACACCAGTTAACTCTTCCACAGAAAGTGCATTCAACAGATATTGTATTACTAACCGGAGACTTGAATGCTTAGGTCGGGCGTCTAGGCACAGAAGAGAGTGACTCAGGTGGTCTATGGGGACTTACTGGTCGCAGGTCAAATAACGGTGACTGTCTACAACTCATTTCTAGCTAGCACTAACTATCGATACGGTCATTTCCGGTATGCTACCTGGTATGATCCATCTGCATCTCAAACCTGGATTCAGGTTAATCACATGGCAATCAGCGACCGTTGTTGTGATCGCGAACTAGATTGGCACTAACTTTTGGAGTACCTATCTGGACTCTGATCATGCCCTTGTTTGCGTTAATCTCACCTTACTTTCCAGTAGCCAAATAATTCATCGTCCTAAAAAGATCGATGTCAGCAAATTGGTTGTAGCTTCTGTTGCAACTAAACATCAAACCGATCTAGGTTCAAGGCTAGCTACCACCCCACCGAGAAATATAGATGAGCATTGGCTGAAGTTACATAACACCATGAAAATGGCAAGTCGCTTGCAGCTTCGCGAAACGTCCCGCATAGAAATAGTCAGTGTGTGACATGGCGTTGCAGTGTAAAAGAGAGCTATACAATTCTGGTTTCTGCTAGTCGTTCACGACTCCCTGGTTGGGGTCGTAGAGATGGCACAACACAGTGGCTTGAGACGTTATCAGAAATGGCTCAGAATAGAAGCCAGTGGCGATCCTGCTGTAACTTTCTCCATAAAAGTAGACGTAACGTATTTAACTGAAAGAATTCTTTCTGGTTGTGTTTTTACAAACTGAGCTACTTCTCCCATTATTATTATTTTACTCTCATACGCTAATTTCTGTTCGTTGTCGTCTTGTTTTTTTTTCTTATACACACTTTACATTCTCTATGTCTTCATATCCTGATTGTTATTATGTGGCGCATAAGTATTTGGTGCCCTTATGTACTAGTATTCATATGTTCCAATAATAATAATAAGTGGTTAAAATTTAAATGCTTATTATGATTATAATGGTTAATTATCGGAAAAGTCTCGGAAACACTGATAATAATGTAACGTTCAGCATTCAACAGGTTTACATCTAACCTGAAGGTACGTTTTGTGCTTAGTAAGAGTAAATTTTAAAAACAATCTGTGCAAGTGAATCTAGAAGAAAGGAGAAATAATGAACCGGTAACTTACTAACTACATAGGATGCACTGTTGATGGTGAAAACAATTGATAACAATCATTAATAACAGGTATGAGGTCAAGAAAATCTGGTAATCGAAACTAGAAGTTGTTAGAGTAACATTTCGAACGTGTTATAATGTAAACATGGAATTGTAGTAACCATACACACATTAATGAGTGATCATCATAATTATATTGTTTGTCACATAAAGTAAACTTAAAAAAGACCCGACTTGAAATAAGATGTATGTCATGAGATTTTATTTAAATAACATAAGTTACAAACTAATAAACACTTGTAGTGTCGGCTACTATGTCAAGCCTACATAGTTTATTCTAGCTTCTGACCAGGCCAATTTATTCATTCTTTTTGAGTCACGCTTTGGCCTTGTTAACTATTCACTTATCAACCCTGACTGTTTTCATATGTGTTTTTACATCTTATCCTACTCATCACATGTCGTTAGTTTATTTTTGTGTAACTATAACCATGCATTAGTGCTTAATTAAATCGAGTTGGTTCACATGCCTTCACCACTGCGCATCATTTCGTTTCTCTTCGTTCCTTTGATCGTCTGCATAGATCAATGATTGTACAAAATGCATGTACTCGATGAAACATTTGTCTAGTGTATCCTAGTTTTTCTATGGTTATTTAAGATCAGTTCATGTTATAAACGATCAAACTAGGTATCAGTTTAGAGATCATATTATTTCGACTAAATAGCATCTAGTTGTTTCTGAATTTTCTTTAAAAAGAACCATGCATTTCTCTTATTAGCATCTCACATCATCATCTTTTGTATGAAACTATATACACTATACTTATGATAAATAAACATTTTTTTTTTTATGTTATTGTCAATTAAGGTTCTGATCGTACATGGGGTACATTCGATTGGCAATTTAATTTCCATTGGGAAAATGTTGTAGATAGAGAAATAGAGCGTATTAATGATGAGCATAATGTCCCGTTACGAACACCTACTATGGCTGGTGGTCTATTCACCATTACTCGTGAATACTTTTATAAGGTAATAGAGTATTTTATGTATGTTCTTCTTTGATTTGTTTTTGAAATTTCATTTAGAAAGTTGATCACGATCAGTTCGACATTTTCGCAGACAAAATGGTCCATGATTCATATCATTGGTTCCCTTCAAAAATTTCAACAAACCATGAATGACCATATTTATATTTGTATTTTGTTGCTTTCTCTTCAGGTTCTTTGAAGCTAATTATTCTAAATTGATAACATTGTGTTAATCTCTGTCCCTCTCTCTCTCTGAAGACAAAGATCAGGCTGAAGCTTTCGGTTTGTTATAACTTCTGCGAGTTTCAATAGTGTAGAATGAAACTGTTCATTGATAACCTTGAATGATTTCATTGGATCCACATTATGCTCCATGTTTAGCAGGTGAAATCAACAAAATACAATGAATTCATCGTATTATACAAATGTGATCGTTCTTATTCGGTCCATGATTGCCGGAGTTTCAATCTTATACATGAAATTGCTAATGAAACGACATATTTCTCATGGATCTTAAATTAATAGAGCTCCAGAATATAGTATATTCTTAGAGAATACTTTTTGATGATATTATCGTTCTGACTATTAAACTAACTAGCATATAGCACAGAACCACTAAAAAAATTCGTCTGAGTTGCATATTTATTCTCTAACTGTTGTTTCAATCCCTAACTTTTACTACAATTGTGTTTTCCATCCGGGATGCCATACCATACTCTATATTGAACAAAGAGTAGACTGTTGTATCTTACTCCAGCCTCTTGAAATGAAATATTCAATAAAACGTACATCATATTGTACATAATTTACCTATTATATGATCGGATGTCTTTGGTACCACTCAATTAATAAACAAGGAAAACATTGCGGACAAATTCAGTCGGTATTTTGGTATTGTAGCTCAAATGACCTCTCTTTCCTAGGATAATTCCTTCTCGCTTCATTCATCTCTCATGCTGTACTGATGTTAGGTATAACAAATTATACCGATGCAAACATTCTTAGTTTTAATTTAATTCAATGATTAAGCAAGGAAGTCACATTATACACTAGGATGAGCTCTAGTTTTACTTGAGTTTGTTTAGAAGTAGAATGTGAAACTACATTTCAGGTCATCAAAACCCCTAGTACTTTATTTAATGAACCATCTAACATGTCCTTGCATAGTATTCTAGGAAAATGTCATCTACTTCTTACTCTTCATTTCTAGATTGGTGCTTATGACGAAGATATGGAAATATGGGGTGGTGAAAATATTGAATTATCATTTCGTGTTTGGCAATGTGGCGGTGAATTACTAATCGATCCTTGTAGTCGTGTTGGACATGTATTTCGTAAATCTTCACCATATACATGGCCCGGTGGTGTTAGTCATATATTACATAAGAATTTTGTACGTACTGCACTAGTTTGGTTAGATCAGTATAGTCGATTTTATTTTATGCTGAATCCATGTAAGTAATTGGTAAACCATATCATCATCATTATGACTTCAATTACACTTATTTGCTTTTTGTTTCTCAATAAAAATGACACGTCAATCTGTCATATTTCGTCGATTATAACTCAATCCTAAATTGGCTTTTCTTCTCAAAGGATGCTTAAATTACTTATTGCTATGACATCTTATCATGTGTACCTAACCACCGCCTGCCCTAACGCTCGATGTTTGTTGGCGTGGGAATAGATTTTTCTTTTTAAAGATAGGAGACGGCCAAATAACTTGTAACGTGTGATGATAGCTTAAGAAAAAGTGATTATATAACTTAGTCCGTTGCTTATAAGTTCATTATTGTATGATATTACAAATAAGTTATCGACTAGTCAATACTAAATGCTGCCGCCTTTCAGTGTATACAAATTTGACTATTAATCTGACTGAATAAATTTATTGATCATTTTGGTGTACTTTAGGGGTCGAATAATTTCTTGTCTATATTTTTTGTGTTCTTACCTGCGTCGTTTGATTCTCAGTCTTCCAGTACCAAGTCAGCTAACCACCCCACAAATGTAACACTTCATATATCTCTTTCCATTCTGTATTCTCGAACCATATTTTCAGTGTTCATTTTTTGTCATTGTTATCGTTAGTACATTACTTTAATTCATTTCCTGTTCATTCTTTTCAAGTTATCTCGATATGTTAATGTGGTATGTCGACATATGTCAATACATATATGCCAGACTATACGCTTATTATGGTTGGCTCGCTCTGAATATTGTTAAGACATTAGGAGTCTAACACTACCAAGGATCGTGTTGTAGGTATCTTCAGAACGAAACAATTCATATTCATACTCTTAAACTTGTAAATTTGCGATTTTTAACAAGGCTCACAAGTCACACTATTGTTATTGTTGGCTATTTAAACACATAAACATTAGTACAAGGAGGAGCCAAATAGACATGCGTCACATGAATCATTCTACATGTGTGAGGGCTGGGATACTTTCTGGATGCCCGAACCGAAACAGGTGGTTTCCTTAGGAGGCCACTCCCAGAGCCTTCGACCTAAAGGTCTAATCCACATGGCAGTGAAGCAATGTCAGAAGATGCAGTCCCATGGTGACCGGTGACCAACAACTGGTTCATACGCTATTTGTTTCCTCAAGGTCCTAGAGCCCATATACACCGTTGGTTTGGAATGAGGGTTTTCCACCTCCCCTAGGTGGATCCTCCATATCCACCGACCTGGTGAAAGCGCCGGACGTTTGCTTTTCTTCCTCTCAATTTCGTAAACAACAGTAGTGCTGCGATAAGGCAGTGAGCAGGAGTTCCCTGACAGTGGTTCTGTACGTGTGGCCATGTGAGAGTATTTGGGGACATCTGACTTTCCCTACTCTTGGCCGCACCAGGGCATTCGGGGACCACAAATCACACTTATTGTTTCTTTTTCGAAACACAAGCAGTAGATCCCCGTAGAATTTGATAAAGAGTTGTGATATCGTGTGGAATACGAAGTCTTTGAATGTTATCTAGTTGAAAGCGTGTAACTAGGTTTCCTACTGGTTAACACATATCACCAAATAGCAACTTCAACCTTAAGAAATTTCATACTTCCCGTGTGTTCTGGAGTGTATCAATCGGCTTCACAGTCTGAGACGTTAGCACCCAGCCATTCGGGCGGCCATAGATTTTTAAAATCTCAACATCTCAACACAGTGCGCACTATTTCGGATCACTTAGAATAGTAGCTTCATTACAACACGATAGAAAGAGTTCAATCAGCACTAAAGGATTAGGCAACCATGACACTACTCATTGATCAATCAATTGTAGAAAACTGTAGATACTGAATTTATTATTGTGGGGAATAGTGAGTTTACACAAGTTAGTATTTCTGAAATAGTATTAGATTGTAATTCTTTATTTTCTGGTTTTCAATTTTTCTTTGGTGAATTTCAGTTCGTGATAAAAATTTCTCTTCAAAGCATTAAAAATCTCCACGAATACACTTTAGTAGACATATATATGTGTTTTGTAGTCTAGACAACTATTGAAAGCCTGAAGGAACTGAATAGCTGTTTTGTCCTAATACCAGAACTCAGCAGTGCAAATCTACTACCCTACCGAGGATCGAACCTAAAACTTTCGGGCATTGGAATAATCACTTAACCTTAAGTGGACATCCGATGATTTACATTTCCTGTTTTAGTCAGCGCATGATACAATACAAACCATCTAATGACACTGATAAGCAACTACCTCACATCAGACAATTAAGTTCAATTGTCTCCACAACCCCGTTACACTAAACTATATTTACTCTTGGAACATTATTATCATTATATATTTTCGTTAGTAGCTAACTAGTGTGTAATCGATGTTTCATGAATCTTTCTTAACTAATCAAGTATATAATTAATTTTTTAAATTATTCTATCGAGGAATTATTACATGCCAACGAACTACCTACCGAAAAATACTGACATTTATAAATTGGTTCTTTTTTTCTCAGCGATGGGTTAAATTAATTACATCTTTCTAGGGAAAGGGTGGTAGAAGAATAAGCCCACACAAATACTTTAATTTCATGTTCGTCGAAACTATTTGAACAAGTTGTTTCCAATCGGATAAAATGTCATTTGAATGTTTGTATATATACAAGTATGGGAACGTTTAAAATAGTTAAATGGGGTATACAAAAAGATTAAAAAATAATTGATGAAACAATCGAAATTTATTCATAGTTTAATCGTTTACATACTGAAGTGTACTTGAGTTGTAACTGTGGGTTATGGAAACTAGATTGAAGTAGAAAGTGTGCTACATCAATCAATCATAAAAAAATAGACCTGCGCGAAATGTACACCAAATAAAGTTGCAACACATTATCAGAGAAGCACTACTTCCTTGTAGCCCCTTTAATATTACTGCAAGTCCGAGGTCGGAAAAAGGAGGAGGTTCAGGCGAAAGGTTAACAATACCATCTCGTAGTAGAGAACCATGCTAAGGAAAATGAAAACTATGGAAACTCATTTAAACGCTGCGTTAGTAGTTGAAGGTTTTTCATAAAGAAGAATTATGACGCCCCATGATGAAGTGAAAACCAACATTCTTTGGAAGTCACGAGGTCGATATCACTTCTAACAAACAGAGCAACGATAAATATGGATACATGGGATGTTCGCACAATGTGGGAGACTGAGAGGACTAATTAAATATCTACGAAAATGAGAATATATAACCTGATGATGTTCAGAAGAAGTGAAACTCATTGGACGCAAGCTGAATAGAAAGGATAGGATTCGAGAGAGAATCTGTTGCACTCTAGTCATGAAGAAGACAAACCTTCCGATACACAAGGAGTTGTGGTCATGCTGTTCAAAGAAGTACCAAAAATACATATGGAATGGGAATCTCATGAATCCAGGATCATCAAAGCATCCTTCAATACAACAAAGAAGGAGAGAATCACAATGAATTTTGTCCAGTGAAATGCACTCGCCAGCGATTTCAACGAACACAACAAACATGAGTTTCATGAGAAGCTGCAGTCAATCGCACAGACGTGGTCAGGAAACAACCTAATAATCCTGATGGGAAAACTAAACACCAAGGTTGGAATGGACAATACCATGCATGGAGATAACGTGGGCTGACGAAAATGGTGAGAGATTTGCAAATTTGTGTGCCTTCAGCAAAATGGTTATAGATAGGACTATTCTCCCCCTACACACGCATACACAGATCTACTTGGGTTTCACTTGACCACACTACGCAGAACCAGATTGGTTACATTTGCATCAATAAGAAATTAAGTAGGTCTATGGAAGACGTGGGCAAAATGATTAAAACTTACATAGCTTCAGATCACCATCTACCTGGTGGTTGCTAGGATGAAACTGAAGCTAAAGAAGGTTCAATGTAGCCTTCCTTCGGGGTCTCAACATATTCAGAGGAAAAGAAAGATGCCGAAATACGACACAGTGAGCATTAATACAATCACACTCGATGAAGAAGTTATAGAAGCAGACGAAACTTTCATGTACCTGATGAGCATCATCGATAAACATGGAGAATCTGATGCAGATGTGAAGACAAGTATTGACAGAGAAAGGGATGTACATCTACAATTGTAGAGCATCTGGAAATCGAAACACCTGTCCACCAACATCATAGTCAAAATTTTCAATACGAAAGCCAAAACATTTCGATTGTACGGAGCTAAAACGCGGACAGCAACTACAGTCATTATCGAAAATGTACAGGTATTTATTAACAGTTGCCTAATGTCATAAGCGACAACCTACTGTGACAGAAAATATATCAGCTTGTAGTTGGAGATGAAAATAGGAAAAGAACCTGGAGGTGGATAGGCTATACATTGTGGAAATCATCAGACTGCATTACGAAGAAATCCCTAACTTGGAATCCTGAATGTCAAACCAAGGAACACATTGCACCGCAAATCGGAATTTAGGAACCCATATTATCTATATTCGATAACGAGCTACATTCCCATTGTGTGTGTAGAAGTACATATTCTTCCTGGTATAAGTCTGTTTGTTCAGTAGTTACAAATCCTAAATAATATGATTTCCCAATATTTACACTTCATACTTCAATGTATTATTTCTAGTCTAGTTATGTAATACCAAATTTAATGTATATGAATTTCTATGCAATGATAATGATCAACATAGATAGAAGACCACTGAGTCGGCATCTAACGGTGTTAGTGTTTAACTTCAACCATTACAGTGGAGTTCAACCAGGTCTGTTTCGAGATATCAGCTCACTGAAGACAATGGTGACGCTGGCGCAATTTCGTGGATTGGTTGGAGTTAAACATGAACACCGTTGGGTGCTAACTCAGTGGTCTAATAGTTAAGCGCTCGCGCGCGTGCCTGATAGGTCGTAGGTTCGAATCTCGCGGGGGGCGGGATCGTATATGGACACTGCTAAAGAGTCCCGTACTAGGACGAAACGGCCGTCCAGTGCTTCCAGGTTTTCCATGGTGGTCTAGGTTCAAGTGTCTCACGATTTCAACTATTGAACTTACTAAAATCTCCACAAAACCCCTTCTGATAATAGACAAAAGAGTTAAACAACAGACATTCTTTAATAAAAAAAACCCTCCAGCTTCTGATAAGTAGACTGACATTTTCTTTTCTTTTTTCCTTGAACTATTGACCTAATTCCTAATCAAATCTCAATCTGATCTTTTCCAATAATGCTTGTTATGCAACCGGTTGCTTTCATGCAAGTCAAACTGAATTCAATATGTTTAATTGAAATATTCATGATCTAACAATTGTATAAATACTATTAAACCAGATAAAAATAGGCATCAATCTTAATTCATTACCAAGACAAGGTGAAATATACGTGCATAACATGAAGAAAGAAAAAATTAACTGATATGTTACTTAATCCGTTTTTTTCGGTTCAACAAGTTTTAACAACATTATTCTTAACCAGGTTGTAATTTTTCATTCATTCATGCTGAAACTTGAAGAGTACCATATCATATTCAATCACAAAATAAGTTTACTTCTATTTTTATTTCATTGACTTTCAATCGTTCGAACTTTTATTTATCCTATATTTCAATTCAAGACAATCGAAGACTATCTTCACTTCATACAATAAGTCACTCAGAAAACAACGTAGAACTTCGTACATACGTACATCAGTTCGACTTGCCATACCACATTAGCACAGTGACACAATTTTCAATTCAAAACCCATAGTGGTAGAGGTAGTAAAAGTATAAGTAGTGATTGGAAAGATTAGGGCTTGAAGATGCTATTCAAGGAGTATAATACAGTGAAATAAATTTGGAAAGAGAAAAAGAAAAGGGATATGAATAATCCAGACGACTAGAATTTGTGAGAACACAAAGAGTGGATGCACCTGATCCATTGCAAACGATGTTTAGTTATGTCATTCAAGGTCTCTAACCATCAGTTGCTATCATCTCGCAGATCCCAACCACCTAGTGTACACTTACCAACATGGCTCACTCAGTCCACTTATCAGTGACTTCATGGATTTGTGCCATGTTTTGGTCTGGCCACTCCTAGCTTTCTTTCTTCCTAATCCTACACCATGAAACATCGCGCGTCAGGGCATTCGGGGGTTGGTCATACGTAACACATGTCCCAGCCATCTTAACTGATGAAGTTTCATTACTTCATCAATTGATTTGTCATCCTTATCTAATACCCATTTCCTAACAAGTGGATTACTTACTCGGTGGTGGTAGGATAGACGAGTAATACTTCGAAGACATCTATGATCAATTACTAGTAACGTACGAATATCCTCTACTCTTACTGGACATTCGTACTTTACTAGTATTCGATACAATAAGTATAGCTCAAAGGTTAAATATTCTTTATTTGTTTTTTTTATTGAAGTGAATTATATTTAAATTATTCTGTTCACCAACGTTGAATTAGTTTCATTAGTTTGACCACATTGTTATATGAATGTAAATTCTAATAATACAAGAATAAATATATTTTCTTGAAAAAACTTGAACCAAGTTGCTCGGTGAAACGTTGAATTTACTTCGAATTCTTTCGCTGAGATTTTACAAATACCATATTCTTCCTTTTTAAGAGTAAATATTGTTTAAGAATTTAAGTCTATATCTATACATGTACACTCAGTTTTACTATTAATATAATTGAAATGAACATTTCTTTCTTTCAATTTCATCATTTGAATATCTACTTATGTTTACTTGGTAACATAATATAATATGGTTTATTGATTTCACTATAGATATTTATACATAAACAAATCGTACATATCACTTGAAAATAAACATCTCAAAATGCTTTATTTGTTTTCTGTATTTCCTGAAACACTTGTCTTATATATCTGTTTGCTGATTGTTACACACACACACACACATTATTTATTTATTTTAACACATACGTATTGATACAAGGAGGCACCAAATACATATGCGCCACGCAAATCTCATTTGATTTGTGTGTGGACTGTGATATTACCTGGGTGCCCAAACCGGAACAGGTGGTTTTCTTAGGAGGCCACACCCGGAGCCTTCGACCTGAAGGTCTGATACATAAGGCAGTGGAGCAATGTAAGGAGATGCAGTCCCATGGTAGCCGGTGACTAACGATTGGTCCATACGCCATTTGTTCCTTCAGGATACTGGATCCCATGTGGAGCATTGGTTTGAAATGAGGATTTTCCAACCCCCCTAGGTGGACTCTCCATGTCCACCAACCTGGTTAAAGCGCCAGACATACGATTTTCGTCCTGTCAATTTCGTGAACAACACCCCCGCCACGAGAAGACAATGAGTACCAAGACATTTGGGGGCGTTACACACACATATGTTTATTTAGTTTAGTTAGAAATCGAAGGTAGAAGAAAAATAAATCAAAGAAGAAAAGAAAAACTAGTTCAGTCGTTGGTTATAAATTCTTTAACCAAGTAAAGGACATGTGTATTACAGGTTTTGTTAAACACAAAAGCTAAGATTTTTAACTCGAATTCTTTAATATATGATGGATAACATCAAACCCGATTGGAAATTATTAAAAGTACACAATAAATTGCTTTTGATTTTAAAAAAACTGACTGCTATCGAATAAATCTGATTAATGATAATCTTAAACGCTCTGTAATTAGTATATTTATTAGTTAGAATGCTTTATACA